CTCCCTGTGCCCATCTCTCTGGATTCTGAGTCACAAATCTGGGTAGGTCCAGACACTAGGCTTTTTTATAATTAGTTAGTTTATAATTAGAACCAATGCTCTCAGCAATCAACCAACCGGCTCTTTCCCTGCCCTGTGCCATCTGCATCAGTCAAAAACACCAGAAATATGGCTCTCAAGTGACTTGTCAAGGCCCCCTGCCTCCCACTCCTTCCCTAAGGCTTTGTACTAATCCAATCTCAAGACAATCTGTGTGCTTTTGGTTTTACCTTAGCCATCTAGCTGGTCCCCTACCCCAGGGATCATTGCAATATCAAACTTGTTCACCCCAATTCACACACCCTCGAGGTTGAGCTCCTTCTTCAGAAGATCATGTCAGGACAGTACAAAAGAGGCACTCTTCATTCATTTGTTTATTTATTCATTTATTCAACAGGCAGGTACTGAGTACTCATTATGGGTCAGACATGGTGCTAGGCTCTTGGGATACAATGGTCAGTGACACCGAAGAATGGATCTATGAGAGAGAGACTAGTTTATATCACCAGCATTTGACAAGAAGCCTGAGCCTAGGTCTGTTTTTTCCCTTTCTCTCACATACCATCCAACACTGATTCCAGACCCATGAGGGCTTGCCTAGGGCTGAGGCTGGCCTTGTGGATTGCTTTGCATAAACACTGCCACTTGGCACCTGCTCTACTCTTCAATGTTTGACACCAGCTCTCCTTATCCATAAATGACTAAACACCAAAAATCATTTATTTACCCAGAATGATTGAGGCCCAAGCCTTCATCCTCAAATAGATTTCCTTTCTATAGACCTCTTGGTTCTGGTTCCATGTGGTAATTATGTAGTTTCAGGATCAAGTCTTCCATGGCGTGTCTGCACAAAGGACATCAGTTAATCCATCCCCTCCCCCATTTAAGACTCTTTCTAAACCCACAGCCATGAGCCAGTGACCTTGTCCATCGTGCTGGTTCTGTTGCCAGCACTAATGAAGATCCCTCCTAACACAGGATGTTCCCCAAATATCCAAGTGTGTGTGAAAATATCTTTCCAAGTGGGGCCAAAAAAATATGTTTGTGTCCATCACAGATATGAAATATGATACCTATTCCTAGGAAAATGGCTGCCCAGGAAGGAATGACCCAGCAATTGATATTAGTACGTCCATGATTTAATAATTTTAAGTTCTAATTTTTAGTTTTTACTTTTAAGTTTTCCAACCAAAGCGTATAATTATATGGACAAAGGCAAAACCCTCTACACAGAGTCAGGTTCAAGCTAAGTTGAATGTGAAGGTTCAAGGTCCTTAGAGGCAGCTTGTCCCAGGGAATAAGAGCAAGGACTCCAATGGGGGGAGTCAGGACTGGGGGGGAGTCAAGTCCTCATTCCTCTGGAGATTGATTAGATACAAACCAAAAAAAAAAAGTCAGGGAAATATTGATCTACAGAGATTTTTCAATATGAGAAATATGAACTGAGCAAGAGATCTCAGAGACATGCAGAAATAAGGGCATAAAGAAATATATCAAAAAGAGATATGAGCAAGAGATATGGGTGGCTCAGTTGGTTAAACGTCTGTCTTCAGCTCAGGTTATGATCCCAGGGTCCTGGGTTGGAGCCCTGTGTTGGGCTCCCTGCTCAATGGGAGCCTGCTTCTCCCTCTGCCCCTACCCTTGCTCATGCATGGGCTCGCTCTCTCTCTCTCTCTCAAATAAAATCTATAAAAAAAGAGAGAGAGAGAGATGAGCCACACGTACCAAATTCTGAGACTGCGCAGGGAGGGAAAGTGACATGGAAGATCAGTTTCTGTTGTGTTGTCCCAGCTCCTGGACGCATTGGTCTCTCATACTGGGAGTGAATTATTTCTTGTAACACCTGCTTTCAACTTGAGTTTGGCACAGGATAGGTTGATATAATGAAGTGAGTGTTGCCAGCAGGATTTGGAACAGTAAAATGAAGACAGGTTCTGCTACCAGGCTGAGCAGAAGTCAAAGCCTGCTTCTACTATTTCTGACTATGTATGACCTTGGCCCAACTTATGAACAACTCAGGACCTCAGTCCATTTATCTGTCATTTGGAGCTAACCATGCCCACTTCACAGGATTTTGTGAGGACTAAAGAAGATAACAAAAGTGTTCAGTAAAGATTACCTTCCTTTCCTCTTCTTAAAATATTTTTGGAATAGGGGCACCTGGGTGGCTCAGATGGTTAAGTGTCTGCCTTCTGCTCCAGTCATGATCCCAGGGTCCTGGGATAGAGCCCCACGTCTGGCTCCTGGCTCAGCAGGGAGCCTGCTTCTTCCTCTCCCTTTGCCTCTCCCCCTACTCATGCTCTCTCTCTCTGTATCTTTGTGTCTCAAATGAATAAATAAACTCTTAAAAATATATATATATTTTTTGGAATAATTGTCAGAAAAAGAGCAACATATTTGACCAGAAGGATGAGCGTGTGAGCCAAGAACACCTAACACATTTAAAGAACTTGGAAATTTTACCTTCCGCACTTCAAGTCCTTGGGGTTTTAAAAAGACCTGCTTTAGATCAGCACTGATGAGCAGAACTTTCTGCAATGATCGAAATGTTCCAGATCTACACTGCCCGACACCACAGCTTCTGCCCACATGTGGCTATTGTCCCCTCGAGATGCAGCTAGTGCATCTGTGGGACCAACTTATTAGTTTTGTTTACTTCGAATTATTATAAATTTAAACAGCCATATGTGGCTAGCTGCTTACGGAATTGGACAGCACTCATTTACATCTTTCTGGATCTTTGACTACAAGGTTCTCCCGCACTAGCCTGGACTTGGGGAGGCAGAAGAGTGAGTTTAAGCACGTAGGCTCCGGAATCGGTCTGACTGGAATCAAATCCCAGCTCGCCGCTGGCTAATCTCACATAAGCACGTTATGTCTCGGTTTCCTCATCCGTGAAAGAGGAATGCCGATGACAACGACACCTGCCTCATAGAAGATGTGGGGAGGAATAAATGGGTTAATGCGGGTAAGGAGCCTCAAAGGGCATTGTGATTATTTACTCGCTAAAAACAGTCTTCATGCTTTATTGCGACTGTGCATTTACTCCCCTGGCCTACCCACTAGGCTATAAACGTTGCCATAACACCAGTGCCAAGCACCATACCTGGTACACTTAGACTCTCAATAAATAAGTGTTTAAAAAAGTATTGAAGGAACAGAGGGATGGAGGGAGGGAGGGAAGTAGAGAAGGAAGCTGAGAAGGAGGAGGAGGAAAGAATTGAATGACACAGGCAGTAATGTTTTCCATAAAGAGTGAAGAAAGCTTCTAAAATAAAATAAATGACAAAATATAAAAGCTTTCAATAAAAATTTCAGTGGAGATGACCATTGAAGATGAAGACAGAGAAGGTACTCTGGGGGAAGACATACTCCCAGATGACAATGAAGGGATCTGACAGCTCAGAGAACCATGGAGAGAGAAAGGTGGACTGAGGGGTCTGGTTAATACTGCATCTACAAAAATAAAAGCTTCCATCATTTAAAAAGTGTGTTCAACCAAGCCTCTTCAAGAGAACACGACTGTGGGGTGTGTGACCCTATCTGTGGAGGTTACAGGCTAATCCAAAAGGTCCCATTGGTAGCAAAGCATGTGTTTGTTGGTTGTTCATACACAAGTTTTTATTAATCCTACGTTCACCGGTTCCCCAAAAAAGCAGTGTTGGGCAAGTTTTCATAACTGTTTATTCATTATAAATAGTAAATATTTACTGCACTTTTTACATGAAAGACATTTTTACAACACATTGTTGTTGGTTGAGGTTGCAACACAAAGATAGTACTGCTCTTGACCCATCACCCTCTACGACCAACGCGTGAACTAAACTGGAACTACGTCTAGTCTCACTACCCCACTACGACATTGTTCTTAACTCTAAAGGGAATGTATTTGTGCCTACCTCGTTCATGGTTCCAAGAAGAGAAAGAAATAAATAACACTGCCTTCCACCTTTTCGTTCCTCTTAACAGCTTGAAAAAACAAATTTATTGACATTCTAAAATGTCACCACACAAACGTATGTAAACCTCAGTTCCTATAATCTTTCCATATTGGATATCCTTGTATAATTTAAAAGTACATGAGAGCCACATGGACATTTCTGCTCTTGCCCTGCCTTTCATAGAAAAGAGAAGAATGTAAACGTCGTCATTGTAAAAGCATGATTCTCGAACACGGTCTCTAGTCAAAAGGAGCAAGCTGGGTGTTGGTTGTCCATTAAATGGCAAACATCATGCATTCTACCACAATGAATCATGGGCTGTGAAAATAAAGCACCTGCAAAAATATAGTTCTGATTCTGTTTCTACGGCCCTGGCCATTGCCAAAGCATCCGTGAGGTACAGAGTATTGCACACCGATAAGCAGCTGTGGGAATGCTCGTCACTTCCTCTCCACCACGCCCCCTCCCCCCACCCTGGCCAGGTTGGCTTCAAAATGAAAATGAACTGGGAAAATGTCACATACCTCTCCCCACACCGAGAAAGAAAACAAGCTTTTTCTTCCCATTATCCCATATCCTGTTTGCAAGGCTGTCCGCCCTGCGACATTTATTGACAACTGGGTTACAAATGAGGATAAGATCACAAATAATTTATTTGGGAGGTCCTTTACATCTAGTCTAACTTCCTAAAAAATGGTGCCATTTATTTTTATATCAATTTCCAGTGTGTAAAAAAGTCAAGGATTCCTCCATTCCTGCTTCATTAGGTGAGCAGTTTTAAAATTGTATGTCAGCATTGAACATCAAACATGTTATACTTTAGAGTACTCTCCAACTATATTTTAGAACATTCTGCTTGCTTGAACCAGTCCAGATAAATCTCACGCACAGAGACACACGCACATGCGCACGCACACACAAATGGAATGTTTTAGCTCCTTGATCATCAGCACTAAAGAGTTGGGGTATTTGATGTGTAGCCATGTTAAATCATTGCCTTAAAATGTTGCATTTGTCTTTTCACTGTTCCAGGCCTTCCTTTCTTCCACTGCTTTTGTCCAATATGTTCAAAAAATTTGAAACCAACTACTGGAGAAAAAAAATCAATCACTCTTCTCCACCTCCTGGTGAGACTGCCCCCCAAAAAGATGACTTTTTTTTTTTTTCTGAGAAGATTCTTCATGTGTAGGCTGTGGAGACCGGAAACAGGGCCAGTTTTAGCTCCAGGTGGACAGTTCACTTACGCAATATCTGGCTTGAGATAATGAAAGGCACCTGTAAGGAAACACACGTAGCTTTTTAGGTCATGCTAGGACAATTCACAGCAAGGGGCAAAATCAGCTACAGGCTGACAATGTCATATTTAATACCGTGGTATCAAAGGATCGAGACTAATATTTTTATTCCTGAGACAAGTTTGACACAAGTCTGTGTCCTTGGGATTATACCCCATATGATCCTTGAGCTGACCTCATTAAGAACATGTGTTTCTAATACCAGGGGTTATTTCATTTTGGCCAACCCTTGTGTTTTACCTAGTGGCAATCGGGCTTCACATCGCGGCAATTAATAACCGCAAGATGTTGTTGACATCAGTTAAGAAAATGACGATACAAGGGAGCCCTTGCTGGAACAGAAGGCGGGCTCTGCCACAATACTGATACTGGAATGTCAGGCCTAATCATGCTGCCGCCACCGCCGCCGCCGCAGCCCCTTTCTTGAGTAAGGGTTGCGATTTTTCATACTGTCAGGAGTCATTAGCCCCAGAGAGACCAAGGCTTACTTTGTCCATACTGCCCATATTGGTAGCCTGTGACAGGGTCCATACTGTAGCCCGTGGTGCTATAGGTGGGTGGACAGTAGGACTGTGATGTTGGCAGACTGTCCAAGCTCTTCATATGGTCTAGTCTCTGACTGCAGCTGGCCGACACCGTGGTGGTAGGTTCCAGGCCCCCGGTGAGAGGGGAGAGAGCGTAATCGGTCTGGGGCTGATGGGGTACGCCACCGTGGTTGGTCAGGAGTCCCATTACCTAAAATAAACAGGCAGATTGGGAAGAAGTAAGAATGCAGAGGACCAGGTCGTAGCTGAGAGCTGAAAGGATAGCTGGAGAAGTCCCATCTTTATTTCTTTGGAAATCTGCTCGCACAGGGCTGTCCAGAAGACACTGACCACGATGCAAAGGGGCTTGGACACTGCATCGTGCCCAGTGATAACCATCTGACTTTAGTTTCAGAAAAAGGAAAGGTGGGGCAGGGAGGGAGCCGGGGGAGGGAGGGAAAAGAAAGAGGTGGAAGGAGCAAAGAAGGGACAGAAGGATGGAGGGAGAAATTGTATGTGTTGCTATAGAACACTGGCTAATCATATATTACATCTGGAAGTTTCACATGTGATTTTAAACAGACATTAGCTTATGTATTTTTTTTTAATTCAACAGATTCAGGGGCGCCTGGGTGGCTCAGTCGTTAAGCGTCTGCCTTCGGCTCAGGTCATGCTCCCAGGGTCCCGGGATCGAGCCCCACGTCCGGTTCCCTGCTCCGCGGGGAGCCTGCTTCTTCCTCTCCCTTTGCCTTTCCCCCTGCTTGTGCTCTTTCTTGCTATCTCTGTCACAATCTGTCTCTATCAGATAAATAAATAAAATCTTTAAAAAAAATTTTAAAAAAATAAAAATCAACGGATTCAAATGAAATTCTTTTCATGCATTTTAAGATGCCAGTGTCTATTCTCATAGTGTTCCCTCTCAAGAAAGTTCCTCTCCCTATCTTGGCCATCCCTAAGCAATCAGAGATAATTACTCCTTCGCTGATGCTCCTGGGTGCTTTACTCACCCCTCCCACTGTGCAATCATGACTTTGGTCACCTACTTTGAATTATGAGAGTTTTGAGGGCAATAACCTAACTCACTTTTATATTCCTAGCACCCAACGTGGTACTTGACACATATTACGTACTGAGGAAGGAAGAAGGGAGGGAAAGAGGGAGGGAGGGAAGGGAGAGAGGAAGGGAAGGAAGGAAGGGAGGGAAGGGAGGAGGGAAGGAAGGAAGGGAGGGAAGGAAGGAAGGAAGGAAGGAAGGAAGGAAGGAAGGAAGGAAGGAAGGGAGGGAGTGCTAAAGAACTCTCCAAGTAACTGCCTCCATTCCCTGCCTTTTCATTTCTTATCAAAACATTTCATATATGAGAAGGTGTTAAAAGGAAAAGAAAAGCCCGAAATACAAGCATATTCTAAAAACTCTGTTCAGTTTCGTAAATAACCCTGGAAAGCAAGAAAACTTTAAGAAACAAAAACAGAACAAAGCAAAACAACCACCACCTTGCGATTAACAGGCCAACTTTCAGATCGCACAGGGAAGTGTTCTGCAGACTCAAGCTCGCTGACCCTTAGAGCTCCTGGGGATGGAAGTTAAGTGGCTAACTAATTTGGCAGCTGGAAAACTGCCCCGGGAGAGCAGGAGTGATTCTTCTCAACTTTGTACCATCAAGCGGCAGGGGTCAAGAAACAACTGCAAGAAGAGATGGGGACAGTGTGAAGAGCCTGTTTACCAAGCATTTCAGGCGGGAGCCACAACTGCACACATGGCCACCATCTCCCTGCTGGGTTTGACGGAGTTTGACGCATAGAGGGGGAAAGTTACAAATACGAGCGAGAGGAGAGGGTAGCGGTGAGCCCCAAGCCATGACTCTGGCCTCGCGCTGTCCGCCCAGGTCATTCAGGCCACAGACTCCTGGGTGGAGGGGGTCCAGCAAGGCGGGAGAGAGGGCCTAGCCTTGCATCCCAGAAAAGACATCTTAAATTAGATTCCAAAACCAATGACGCCACCATCCCCTTTGGGAAGGGTCTGCATCCGCCTCCTATCTAAACAAAATCTTCTTGAAATGCAGCTTTAAACTGATCTACATGTTCTGTTAGCCCCAAGAGACAAAAGTGGGGGGTAGGTCTGCTTAACCACCTTCTATGGATGACCCTTTCTTCCGCTACTTTAACAAGCCACCAATTTCCCCCACCTTTCCCCTGAAGAGCTAGTCTCTGTTTCCTCGTCTGCCTTTTCGTTTGAGTTGTGTGTGCGAGCATGTGGGAAGTAGGGGGCCAGTGTGTGGAAAGCAACACAGCAATACCCAAATTTTTAAAGATGTTCCAGGGGATCTAAATTTTCTCGAGTTACGTGGTGAAATAGCTTTTTAAAAAGCCTTTAAAAACTACTTATATTCTAAAAAAATAATCATACGTGACAGAGCATCGTTTTATTTTACTGGAGATTTGGGGAAAGTGAAAGTCACGAAATAAAGAGCCAGTAGATTCTCGGAGCTCCAGGAGCGTGGGGAGTCACCAGAACCTGGGGCTCTTCATGGGCCCTCCCCAACGCTGTTTATAGTAAGTTAATTTCTTCATTTTCTCATTTAAAAAACTTGAACATAACTCAGAATGCATTTAAGTTATTTCCTGAATGTTCTTCCACCTACATGTCTTGTTTTTTCTTTTTTCTTTTTTTTTTTTTTGGCCTTTCAGTTCGTATAGATGATTTTACATACATATATCTGGAAAATTCAAAAAAATGCTACTGATGTACTAATTTATTAAGTATTTTATTTCAGCCTGAATTATTCAGGCATGTCTACTAGAAGAAAAGGATCTAAAATAGAGGTTGTTCAATGCCTAGCCTACCCCTTTCACATCAGGGGTATCTCTTTGTGTACTGGCCTGATGAGCAAGAATGGATGGGAAAAATAAAAATATGACAAATGTGACCGTGTCAATGAAAGGGAGTTAATGACATAGGGCACAAATATTTTATTGTAAATAAACTGTGCTAAATAAAAACAAACACTTAGCAAAAGCAATTTTGTAATTACATTAATCCCAAGGAGAAAAAATGGCCAATGGAACTGGGATAAAATGGAATTACATTTAAATTAATACTACCCTTCATGAAAATACTTACTTGAAACTTAGTTATCATTATATCACTTTAAGGGAGAAATGGAATTCTCGATACACAATTATAGTTGAAGAGCAAGAGCAAACTGTTATTCAAAACATGCACACTCTCTCATGAGCTACATGGACATTTTTGTGGTAAACTTATTTTTTTAATCCTCTGCCATATATTTCTTGTTTGCATTAAATTTGAAAGCAGTAATGATTTTGTCCATGGGAGAAAACCATGAAGATCCTAAAAGAGAAGAAATGAGTCCTTCCTGAAAGCCAAATTCAGCTTCTGGTTCTGCAACTTGGTGCAGCTGCTGAATTAGAAAATACTTGAGGCAAGATTGAAATCTAGGGCCTAGAAATATATCTCCTGGAGGATGGAGAAGACATAGTAGGATCTGCCAGAGTCCTACTCCTGGGCAACAGAAAGTTGCTGGGTGAATGGAACAGGAGGGACCCATCTTGGGTCTTCCTTTCAGTATTGCCTGTGTCCTACACAAAAAGCCAGGGACCGTTTCCGCATGATCAAGAGCCCTTAGCTCAGCAGCCCAGTACCTGCAGTGGCTAATGTGAAAACTGAAAAAGACCAGAGACCAGTCATCTTTGCTCCCTTTGACTTCCCCGACAGAGCCCAAGAGACAGACATTCTTCCCACAAGTTCTTATTTCCACTGTGATGGTCACATATTGTCCTCATGATTTCTTTCTCGAGAATTGTATGAGGATGGGCGAGAGGTACTAATATTTTCCTACAGGTGGCCCGAAATGGAAATTAACAAATGATTAGAAACTAACAATCATTTATTCCAATATTTCACATGGAGAAAACTTGAGAAATATACATCTTTTTAATAACTTCTAATTTAAAAAAAATGAAAGGAAATCTGTTTTGGAAAATAAAATAGTGAATATGTCAATACAAAATGCATTACTTTCCCCTAACATAATTTAAAACCTCAAGTCTCTATGGAAGGGTCCCATTACACTTTTATGTACATTTCTTTAAAAGCTATTTTGTATTTCATGTGGTTCAAGGGAAGCTATGGAAATTTCTTTTTGCTGCACAAAGAATTTGGTAAACGAACTTCTTAGAACTCCCCCCATAATATGATTATGGAATGACTTCCAGTCATATTTTCTTTCTAAGAACATGGTCACAGTTTCTTTTATACATGCATTTTCCGACAGTAATTTGTCATTCAAAGCCTAAAATAAAATCTTCATTTGTTGTAAAATGGGGTTTTTTCCCCCCTCATAAACCATTAGTAAGCTGTTTCTACGACAGGACTGGCATTTCTGCCTGATTTTTTTTTTTTTTTTTAATTTGGGGTTGAGAGAAGCATAGCCGCAGGTTCTCACAAAAAATTTCAAAGAAAAATAAATAAACTCAGGGCTAATCATTTCTGTCTACGGGACACCGACCACACTCTTACTAAATGCCAGATAAGTCCAGGAGATGCGATGACCAAGAAGAATTTTCCTGTAATAAAGATCTCTGTTCTGTCCCACTGGGAAGGGGTATAGGAGGAAGATTTCACACTGAGTACAAATCCTAGGTGAGGCGTCTGAAAAAACATTAAGTATATTTCTAAATTGTTACCTCCAAAAACACTTCCCGGACACTGTTTCTAAATTGTTTTATGGATAACCTTTTTAAAAAACCCAAAGCCTTGGAATCGTGTGTCAACACTTGTGCTAATCCTTCCATCGTTCGAATTATTAGAGACATTTTCGAAAGATCTCTTTAAGGTCATTCTCAAGTTTCAGAATTCCAAATAGGTTGTTTATATCTTGATTGGAAGATTATATGGTTTAGGAAAAAAACTAACTCTTTACAATTGCTTCATGCCATATTTCTCTTGAATTAATTTTCCTATTGGAAGAGTAAATATAAAAGATAAAAACTACGGACCAAATGAAGATTTACATTCAAAACAATGAGTCTGGAAAATATTTGTCTTAGCCTAAGTGTTATGGTTTTGCTGTCAGTTGAAAGGGCTCAGAGCTAATCAGAAATCTCAAATATTTAGCAAATTATGGTGTATATCTTGGTGCGTCTTTTTTCCTTAGTAGGAATCCTGGTTCGTGTCTTTACTTTCTTTTTTGTT